TAAATTTAGTCGAAAAAGGTAATGTAGTAATACAAAATAATAAAAGGAAAACACAAATGGTACATAAGGATAGGTTAAAATTATTTAATGAATAATTATTTTCATAGATTTAGTTAATTAATTAGATTTAATGATGTTATAAAATTAAAAAAAAAAAAAAAATTAATTAAATAAAATTTTTGACACAAAATGTATAACTTAACATACTTAACTTATTAACTTACATTAATATACATAACATTTATCTTAGAGAATAATTTCTTAACATAGTTATTACATTATTCCTCTAAAAAGGGGAGGTGTAGTGCGCATACACATATTGACACAGCACATAAATAATCTTCAGTTTATTCCCATACTTTGTTGCGATATTTATGCAACGGGAATTAGACACCACGCGATAAGCGTCGTGGAATGTGCTGGCTAGTCAAATATGTTTATGCACACTTAATATAAACTGCATGTGCTTGCGCTGCGACGTTTTGCACATGTATTAGTATAAGTGTTATGTACATGCGCTGTGTCGCTATGTACTTAGACGTTAAGCATAATAACTTTGATGTACACCATTCCAATAAAGATTTAGACATGAAACGATACGGATCTTTCATTTTGTTTACACCTGGGTCTTACAATGATAGCAAACGTACCTATTTTTTCACACTTTTATACCTGCGCTTACTTTTGTCTCTAAGAGTTTTGCCCAATTGTTCCCTATGATTTACTCTGCACGTTGATTATCAGTTATTCGTTTTACGCTGTTCGACATCATTTGTTCTATACTATTATTCGTCATGTCCAACGACAATGCTAGCTCACATGCTCGTTCAAAGTTTTTAAGGTTTGCTTCATTCAGTAGTCTGTTGTGAATACTGCAATTATTTAACCCACAAACAAATTTGATAAGCAGAGCTTTATCGAGGAATTCTCCAAAATCACACTCTCGTGCAAGCTGCTTCAATTCGACGATATAATCTGTAATGGTTTCACCAGTATGTTGGTATCTTTTAAAAAATTAGTGGCACTCAAATATAATGTTCTTTGTTGCTGAAAAGTGGGCTTTTATTTATGCCACTATTTCTTCTTATTTAAAGTCTATTTCGCAATTCGGTGCTAGTACGCTGGTCAAGGTCTTGCAAAGGTCTGCGCCTCCAAGATTTATCAGAAAAGACGACTTACTTTCGTCTTTTTAAATTTTATTTAAATTTAGCAAATGACTTATGCGATTAATATTCAATGAAAACTCTACACCCATTACATAATTTTCTATCCATCCAATTTTCTATCCAAACTGTCAGTTTCTGTTTTCAAACCTTCAGGTCTATTTTCCAAATCAATCGTCCATTCAGGATTCATCAATCTTGTTCCCACTTATTAATTTTCATAATAATTTTTTTTACGTTTCACTTCTTCCTCGTCGCCAATTAATATATATCTTCAAGTAACATAAAAGACGGTTCTGGTTCTACGGTTCGGATCCAACTCAATTTATTATATTTACGTTTATACAGAATAGTGTTCTTACGTCTATCTTAATACTACATTAAGAGAAAGAGATTGAGTGGTAGAGATTATATACATACATACATATCAGGTACAAGTTCAACCCTAGAATTTGTTCGCCTGTAATATATTAAAAATCTTACATTATGTAACTAAGTTATTTCTTATCGTTATATACCATTATGTAAAACATAATAAATATGTATATGTACTGTATAAAGTAATTATCACACTAATTATGTATTAACTAAATATTTAATGCAAAAGTATTTTACTACTCTTTTAATACTATGTCAGCTATATTTATTTAATTTATCGAAATGCAATCATATTTAGCTATCATAAAATCAAAATGTTAAAAACAAAGTATTACACTTTCTGTTGTACATTTGTCTTCAAAAAATTTCGCAAGGGTACGCTATTCACTAAGGTAAAAGTTGAATTTGGTAGGTCATTTATTTATTATAACAAATGACAACCCTGATAATTTAACAACTAGTTTTGACAGAAAGAACCAGTAACTTATGGCAGAGTGCGAAAAACGATTGCACCTTTGTAAATAAAATAATTAATATTGTTGATTTTTAAGTTGTTTAAACGAAATATAATGTAACGACCCAACTTTTTTTCCAAAGAAAATTAGGGTTACAGAATGCTGGGTGGCCCTAATTCATTTGAAAAACTATGAACATGCAAAACGTGTTCAATACTGTATCACAACAGTAAGCATGGTGATAAAATGCGTAAACAACCAAAAACAGTTCTGCATCACTGCAAATAAACAACCAAAAACAATTCTGCATCACTGCAAGTAAACAGACAAAAACAAAATATGCGTGTAAGGCGTAAACAAGTAACCAACTTCGAAAAATAGCGGGATCAAAAGCGTCAGCAAGAGAAGATAAAAGCGGATAGCAACCTGAAATGGTTTTTTTTTACTACCATCATTGGACGGTGCAGATCTTCTTCTGGAACAAGAGAGTGAAACATTTTTATTACGAAAATCATAATCGAAGGATCAGCAAGGCAAAGTTACCGGTCTAGGAGCTTGAACAGTTACTAGATGGAGACAACACGGCATGGTAGGCTGTAACAGTATACCATGTTAAGTCTTTCTAGAAGGTAACTAAAATTTGCATCCTCACGGTGGTAGTTCGAGCCGAAGGACGAAGACGGTGAAGAAGAGGAGCGGAGGGCATGCATGGAAAAAAACTGGTAGCCAATAAAAATTGGTAAGAATACGAAAAGATGTAAACTTGTTTTTCTTCTTGTGACTATTGATCGCATTATATGATCTGAGACTGTACTTAATATTACCTTGCAAAAATATATAAATAATGTAACTATTTACATTTTACATTTACATTTAAATGATATTTAATTATTAGTTGACTTTCTAAAGAGTCTAAAAATTAATCATTTAATAATATTTTTTTATATAAGCAATAAATTTTTACAATATAAAATAAAAGACGTGAAATTAGTTTTAGTGAGCGACAAATAACTGTTAAATTTTAGAAAGATGACGTAAGCCAAAGAAAAATTGCTGAAGATATTGGTCGTCAATATTCATCTGTGCAGAGAATTACAAATAACTTCAAAGAGACCAGTACTTACGTTTCTAAACCTCGCACTCGCCGCCCCTCAATTCTGTCAAATATAGAAAGACGTAGCATAATCAACCAGGTGAAAGTAAATCCAAGAGTAACAGCCTTCAAACTAGCTGAACATATTGCCGAAATACTTGAAAACAAAATATGTCCTAAAACTCTGCGGAAAATTTTGAAGAAATTCATGTATTATACCCTGATTGCAGGAAAGAAGCTATACATATCCAGATATAATAGAATAAAATGATTAAGCTTTGCAAGAAAGCATATAAATAAACCCATAAAGTTCTGAAAATGAGTTATTTTCTCCGATGAGAGTTAATTTTACAAATTTTGAATCAAAGTTAGATAACTTGTAAGGAGAAAATTATGCACAACCTGTGATAAACAGTAAACAGTAAAACGTATTGGTGAAGGCGTAATGATTTAGGGGTGTATAGCAAGTAATGGTGCGGTCAGACTTGAATTTGTACAAGATACAATGGAGAAATATGCGTATCTAAATATTCTAAAAACAAATTTGAAAGAAAATGTCAGAATGTTAGGACTTGAGGCAACCTTTTTGTTTCAGCAGGACAACGACTCTAACCATACAGCACCCATCGTACGGATTTGGATGCTGTACTATGCTCTCAAGCAACTTCAAACACTACCAGAATCACCAGTCCTTAGTCCTATAGAACATCTGTGGGTTTATTTGGAAAATAAGATTCGCCAGCATATGTTTTCCAGCAAGGATATAGTAAGAAACGTCATCAAACAAGAATGGCTAGAAATAAACGCACAGGATACTGCAAAGCTAGTTGAGTCCATGCAAAGACGCTTAACAGAGGTTATTAAATGCAGAGGTTATCCCACAGGCTATTAAATTTAAGATCTTTGTGAATTTTATTGTTTTAATGTAAATATTAAGAAATATCCGTAGACTTTTTCTGCTTCCAAAATTGCTACTTTTGCATATAATTGTGTTTAATTTTTTTTAAACAATAACTGTTTAGTTTTAATATTGCAACTTTATTGTTGTTTCCTTGGTTAAAATAAATCAAAAATAAAAATGAATTTGAGTAAAAATTAAAAAAGTTATGCGTAATTTTAGAAAAATTATGTGAATATCCGTAGACTTTTTCTACTATGTGTATATATAACAAAAATGTGCTCATGTGACCGCTTTAGAAATCTATGAACTCGCTGTACTTAATATCGTTACTATTGATCGCGTTATAGGTTTTGACTACGCTTAGGTATCGCCCTGCGGAAATATAATAAAATCAAAATGTGTCTGATCGCTTACATGATCTTACTATGCTTAGGAATCGCCCTGCGGAAATACAATAAAAATCAAACTGTGTCTCTGATCGCTTTGCACGATCTTACTACGCTTGGGGATCGCCCCGCGGAAACATAATAATACGGGAGATCGCTCTGCAATTACCAGATGATACTGAGCTTGTGACGCGACCGATTCTTTACATAAATATAGGTTATTAGTTAGATTTTTTTGTTTGTTTTCCTTTTATCACTTTATTTTTTTGTTATTACTTAGATACTCTGTTAAGTTAACTATAAGTGAGTTTCAGGATTACAATTAGAAATAGGAAAAAAACTGGAATAAAACAAGTAAAAGAATTGAAATAGAAAAGCATTTGGTTTTTTTTTTTAAATTAACTTGGCGAAGCAGGGATACCAGTAGTTGGCTCGGAGAATCAGACTTAAGTCGTAAGTACAAATTTTCTTGTAAGAACCTTGGCTACGGCCTAGCTATTCCAGCTATAGACAACCCCAACCAAAAGGAGTTCATTACAATAAGTTTTACGGAAAATAAAGTAATGATACACACCAAAAATCAGGTATGATGACGATAAGATCGCATCCTTTATGATTGTATAAATGAGGTATGATGAGGTACAATAAAATTGGGAATTTTACGGGAAATTAAATAAACCACAAACAAAACATATAAATGTAACATTTATGGCTTTTACTAAACTTACTAGAAATACATAATACTAGTATACTTAGCTGTTCCCTCTAGTAAGATACTTTATTGTGTGTTATGTTATGTGCACTTTCTTCTTAACAGATTTTATATTCATTTGATTGGCAATTCTTGGTATGAAGTTTTAATTTTCCATAACAAAAAACGGTCTTTCAACGCTTGTCGTTGTGACATGGCCAAAACCATACGAATATGTTTAATTGCGTGAAAATATTTGCCATCGCAGTAATTCAATCATTTTAAATACTAACATTTTTTTAAATCATAATTACAAAGGCTCACGCTCCTAACAAGAGCAGCCATTAAGTTATAAATTAGCTCACACTCGTGAGCAATAATACGTTCTGATGCTCTTGAGATCTCATGCGCTGCTTATAAAAAGGTGCTGCAATGCTAGAAAATGAAAAATATACGGCATTGTTGTTGTTGTTTTCGTTGCAAAATTTGGCACGTGCCACTATTTATTTGAATTTTGTCCCTTTACTTATTTAATTAGTCGTTTTGTATTAATTCAAGAGTTTTAACGCATTAATTCTGTTTCCGAAAATTTGAAAATAAGTATTTCAGAGTTTTACATCAATGTAATAAAACAATTTGCTTAGAATGCGAAAAACAAGTGTAATCAATTTTATATGCCTTAAATGTTATAAAAAACTATTGCCAATAAGCTGACTTTTTAGTTGAGCTCTTAAGTTACTTTAGCAACTTAAGCAATTTTAGCATCTACTACAAATCAAAATTAATACTTTTTGATGTCTTTTATTATGATGTGTTATTATTTTAAATTAAATTCAATAACTAATTTTCATTTGATGAGATCTTAATTTGGTGAGATCTTATGAGCAGCTCTTTAATATGAGCAAATTGAAAGTTTACGTTGATCAGCAGCTCTTCAATATGAGCACATTTTCGGTTCACGCTCATGATCGAATTTTGTATTCACGTAATAATTGGATCTTGCTCATGGGTAAGCAAATACGAACTCTGCTTTTAACTAATCTGGAAGAAATACTCAAAAACTTGTTTCCTTTCTTACAGTGAAATGAAAATGAAAACAAAATATTCTTGGTTGGTATTGACTGCTACAATTGATGTTCGTTTTTAAAAGGGACCCTTAGTGTAAAGGTGGATAATTTGATTTTTATGAAACATCGAATGTTCCTTATTTCTTGGCAAAAACAATATATAAAAAAAAATTTTAAAAAAATTGATTTTACAGAGTAAAATATAATATGCGCAATTGAATAGTCATGATGCATTAATATGAATATCCAATTCATTTCTATGCATTTGGAGCAGATGCCCCCTGGCTACGTTCCTGTGTGCAATAGCATTCAACAATAGTTTTCTTAGATGTGTCTAAACCGTTTGATGTTGTATAAAAATCGTGCCTGTTTTAGTTTTTTTTATCAGTTAAACTAAAAACAGTAGCTTAAAAAAAATAAAGTTTTTAAGTCATTTTTTTTAGTAGCCATCCATTTTTTTTAAATTATTTTGTATTTCTATATGAATACAAATACACAAATGATACTTATGCATATAGAATTAGAATAGCCGTATACGCATAAGACTCATGATTGAGTTCCAACGGAGGTTCTATATTTCCTAATACTAAAAATAGTAAAAAAGTTATTAATTTTTTGGGTATATTTCAATATTTATTGTATAGAAGTTTAGAGTCCTTATACTTAAGTATTTAGTATGTACTGTAAAATACAAAAAAAAAAGTTTTGAATGCTGTGTAAAGGGCTGTCAAAATAACGGTCTTTTGTGCATATTGGAAACTGCATGAGAAAAAAAATCGATGTGATTTTAATATTCTACTATAAGAGTATAGGTCTTATCTTTCAAAATTAAAATTAAAATTATTTTTAAACTAGTGCTATTGGAAATTTCCAACGCATAGCAGTAACTGTTTGCTTCACTCTAACATATAAGTTTATTTAAAAATTAATCAATATTTTACCGAAAGTATTTTTTTAAAATTTTTGTAAAGTACTAATATATGTTTTTATTATTATTGTATTATCGTACTTAGGTATGAAGTTGCAGTTCCATTATGCAAACAGGCTCTAGAAGATCTCGAAAAAACTAGTGGTCATGATCACCCTGATGTTGCTACAATGCTTAATATATTAGCCTTAGTTTATCGTGATCAGGTATTAAGAAAAAGTTTTTTAAAGATAATAAATGTATTTTTATATACATTTAGAACAAATATAAAGAAGCTGCAAATCTTCTAAATGACGCTTTGGCGATTCGTGGTAAAACTTTAGGAGAAAATCACCCGGCTGTTGCTGCAACTCTTAACAATCTTGCTGTTTTATATGGCAAACGTGGAAAATATAAAGACGCTGAACCTCTATGCAAGCGTGCCTTAGAAATTAGAGAAAAGGTTTTGGGAAAAGATCATCCTGACGTTGCAAAACAATTAAATAATTTAGCGTTGTTGTGTCAAAATCAAGGAAAATATGATGAAGTAGAAAAGTATTACCAGCGGGCTTTAGAAATATATGAGTCGAAACTAGGTCCAGATGATCCTAATGTTGCAAAAACAAAAAACAATTTAGCGAGTTGCTATTTGAAGCAAGGAAAATATTCAGAAGCAGAAGTTCTTTACAAACAAGTTCTAACTAGAGCACATGAGCGAGAATTCGGTGCTATTGACAGCAAAAATAAACCTATATGGCAGGTAAGTAATTATTATTTAATTAGTATATAAAACCTAAAAATTTTCTAAAAAAAAATATATATTGTTATTTAAAACTATTTATTTTAACATACTGTAAATTCACACTTGAAATAACCACTCAAAAAATCGAATAAACATTTTTTAAATTCTGTTTTAGACCATGTATGTCTTAATTAATTAATTAAAGAAGAGTTTTGTAAAATGTTGTTTTTATAACTTTGAACTTTGGTTATGTCTTTTTTTAAAGTTATGTTGTAACAATGTTATATTCTTTTAATCTATTAAATGTATAATTCTTTATTATTAATTCACTTCCTACAAGATGCGGTATTTTTAACTGTTACTAATTTATAAAATATTTGAAGTTAGAAAATATGTTTAACGTAAAAACTTTTCTAAAAAATATTTTCATAATAGAACTGATAATTCCGTTCCTGCAAAATAAATTAACGCTGATTTGATTGACAATTACTTACAGTATAATTTTAATTTAAAATGTGCTTATGTAAATAAATGTTTGTTTTTATATTTTAAACGAAAGTGTCAATATTAATAAATGCACACTAAAAAAGTGATTTCTAATATAAATATTTTTATTTGAAATCATAAAATTTAAATAAAATTATACATTTGAACATATTAGACACAAAAACACAGTATATGGTGTCATTTTTTTCAAAACGTAGATCGATGAGACCATTTTATATGTGTGCACATTTACGATGTTATATAAAGTTTTAAATATATATATATATAATATATTTATTTATATTTAATATGTTTATAGTTACTTATTAGTATAGCTGCTAATATTTCTTTTACCAAAAAATACCCCACTTTATACATTTTAATATAATACCTAAGTAAAAATTAATTGGAGTGACACATGACACACATTAAGAATGATGCAATACATTAAAAATTAGTTTAAAAACTTAAATGAATGTCCCGCTTTAATTAATATTTCGTATTTTATAGTTTTTTTTTAATAATTTTGGAATAACCAATTTAAGACGTTAGTAATTTTTTACATTTAAATCTGTTATAATTCTTAAAAACAAAAATATGACAAAAGTTTATATAAAATATATTTTTAGCATTGGCAACACTGATTGTTTTCAGTTGTAACTTACAACTTATCTTAGACTTTTTGTCAAATGAGCGTTATTTGCGTTATTTACAGTGATTTGTAAATTACTGTTCGCGAAAAAATGAAATTAACGTTCAATAATTTTTTACGACTTTCGATTTGAATTATCAAGTTGATCAACTTACTTCCACATTTGGCGATGAAGCTCCATTCTTCAGTACTAGCTACTGTGAAACGCTGGTAAAATGATTTTAATCGTTTTCGTGAAGGTCGTCCAAAATCAGTTGTTGTGCCAGAAAACAAAACTGATAAGGCAATATCGTTATTTGATTGAGGTACCTTAGGCATTAGTTCCACCGACATATATAAAATATTGCACTATCATTTAGCCGTGATAAAAGTTTGTTCTCGTTGGATCCTCCATCATTTGACAACATCTTAAAAAGATGCTCATGTCGATTGGTGTGTACAAATGATCAAGAAGTACAATGGCGGTGTTTCAAAAGACGTATACTCGTATAACATTCTAACAGGTGACAGGTGAAAAACCATGGATATATGCGTATGAGCCGGAACGTAAACAGCAGTCGAGTGTATGGGTGTTTTAAGATGAACCAAATCCAACAAAAGTTATCCGCGCTTGAAGCACATTGAAACAAAAGGCCGCCTATTTTTCGTAAACTGGTCATTTGGCAACTATACGAGTATTATTACAATATTGCACGAACGTAAAATGGTCAATTCTGAATAATATTCAACCATTTGTTTACCGGATTTCCACTTTTCACTGAAATACGGAAAACACACAAGAGCCGTGGGATCATTATTCATCAAGACAATGCGAGTGCCCACACATCTTGGCTAACAATTGACTATTTCAATATTCTAAAAATTGAACTGATGGGTCATTCGCCTGTTCCCGAACGTCAAAAATAAATTGCGTGAACAACGTTTTTTGTCGGCAGAAGAAGCCATTGTTGCATTTAAAAATCATGTTTTTAAGTTGCTTGGAGACGATTGAAAAAAAAAAGTTTTAACAAATGGTTCGAACACATGTAAAAGTGAGTTAATCATAAAGGAAAATACTTCATGAAACAATAAAGCAAGTTAGTATTTTTTTATTATTATGCTCAAAACATAAATAGTGATCCTCGTAAGTGCTGTTAATTTCATTGTAAGAGATCTGAAAGAAATTTTTTCGATTTAAAGACATTGCAAAAAATAAATTCAACAACCGTTTTGTCTGAATGCTACGTTCAAAGTGAAGTAGTGAAAGTTAGAACTTTATTAATTACGTATATTACAGGATGGGAACAAAGTGGAAGTTGAAACATTAAATAGTCGATATTACTTCGTTGTTCCAACACCTCCCCTCGAAGTAGGAAGACTATCCGCCATACCCAACGCTGTTACGCATTTAAAGTGCTTAACACTGTTTAATCCTTTCGTGAGGACATCTGCTGGCATGTCTTCGGTTGGCATGTACGTAAACTCAATTTTCCGGCTTTGGTAGCACTCTTTAACGAAATGATGACGTACATCGATGTGTTTTGTGCGCGAGCTGTACCCTAAGCACTGAATGAGTTTTTGCGCACTTTGGCTGTCATTGAATGAATTCACATTTTTACATGATATGCCTAAGTCTTTCAAAATACCTTGTAGATATATTGCTTCTTTCGTTTCTTCTGCCATAGCCATGTATTCAGCCTCGGTACTAGAAAGTGCCACTGTACGCTGTTTGCGCGCCTCCCAGCTTATTGCTGCGCCAGCCAATACGAGCGCGTATCCGCTATACGATCGCCTATCGATCAAATTCGCACCCCAATCTGCATCGGCTACACCATAAAGCGTTTTATTATTTTGTGTGTAAAGAAGTCCATATTTTTTGGTACCATTTAAATACCGTAAAATTCGCTTTGCAGCTCTCCAGTGTTCCTCATTGTAGTTTGTATTAAACTGGCTCATGTAGTTTACTGCAAATGCTATGTCTGGTCTTGTTGCAACTGCTAGGTACAAAAGGGCTCCTATTAGCTTTTGATAGGGGTACCTTGCCATGACTTCTTCATCAAAATCATTTGGTTTTTCAGTTTTGAAGTTTGTCTCCATGGGAGTTTTTGCTGGTTTACATACAGCCATATTGAAACGTTTTAATAATTTTTGAATATAGGCTTGTTGTGTCAAAATAATTTATGTGATCCCAAGTTTTGCTGGAAGTCAATTCCCACACAACGTTTTACTGGACCAATATCTTTCATTTCGAAAGATTCGCCTAATGCATGTTTTGTGCTTCTGAGCCACATGCTGTTGTTTGATGTGAGTAATAGATCATCTACATATATGATAATTATTAATAATTGTTTACCTTTTTGTTTGATAAAAAGACATGGATCTTGCATTGAAGCTTTTAAACTAATCTGTTTCAATTTAGTTGTTAAACGATTGTATCACATTAGACACGACTGTCGCAGTCCATGTAACGCCTTTTTCAGCAAGCATACAGGGTTCTTCTTTTGCAGTCCTTTAACCATTTATCGGTTGTTTCTTCGATATTTTAACTATGCTTTGTTACACCCTGATAACCTGTTGGTTCACCTGATTTTATTTTATTTAAAACTTCAGTTAGCATTTCTGGTACTTCCATGTATATTACTTCTTCAAGCCCTCCGTTAAGATAAGCAGTGACCACGACCATTTGGTGAATCTCCAAGTCCATTTCAGCTGCCAATGCTGCAAGCAAGCGGATTGATGTATAGCGTGCCACTGGCGAGTAAGTATCATGGAAATCCTCCCCTTGTCGTTGAGCGTAGCCTTTTGTTTCAATGTTAATAGTATGACTCTGCGATTCGAATATTTCTTCGTATTCGTTTTTAAATCCAGGTTCATCTATAAATCTCACATCTCGACTAATTATATCTCGTTTGTCTTTGGACCATAAGCGATAAGCTTTAGATTCGGATGAATATAAATACACATTGATAAATACACATTGTTCCGATCGCGATTCAAATTTACCCTTTGATTTCTTCTTGGTAAACACATATGCTTTTGAACCGAACAACTTCATGTAAGTCACAGTTGGAGTTTTTCCAGTCCACGATTTATGAGGCACTTCTCCTGTAGATTTTGTAATACACCGATTTCGAATGTAACATGAGGTATTTATTGCTTCAGCCCAGAATGAAGGTGGAACACCAGCTTGCTTCATAAGACACCTCGCCATCTCTACAAGTGTTCTATTCTTATGTTCAGCTACTCCATTCTGCTGTGGAGCTTTATCCCGTCTTTTTGAAGATACAAGTCGAATTCCTGATTACAATATTCGAGTCCGTTATCAGTTTGCAGCGTTTTTACTTTCTTACCAGTGAATGTCTCTGCCGCGTTTTTAAATTTTTTGAATGCTTCGAATACATCTGATTTTTGTTTAATAAAGTAAATTTCACACCAACGTGATTTATCGTCAATAAATGTTACAAAATAGTTTTTACCGCCATTTGAGGTACAGCGCATCGGACCGCATATGTCGCTATGCACGATTTCTAATAAATCTTCTGTACGATTACCGATACTTTTCGAATAAATTGTGCGTGTTAGTTTTTCACTTGCACATATTTCACAATCCAGTAATTTATCTTTTGAATTTATTTTCAGTCCGTATACATCGCCGTTTTTTGCAATTTGCTTTAAATCACGTTCGTTCAGATGGTCCATTCTACAGTGCCATAGGTTTATTGCACTTTTAGCTTCAGATATAAATGCACTGATTTTATGGTTTTTCATAAAATATAAATTACCATTTCGTTCTGCAGTGAACAATACTTTTCCATTTTTATAAATAATACTTGCATCATTTTTACGAAAATGTACTTCAAATCCTCTGTCTGTTATTTTTGATACCGACAACAAGTTTGTACGCAAGTCCGATACATAAGCACATCTCTTAATGTTATATTCCTTTTACAACCTTTTTCGTTCACTTTTACTTCTATGTCACCTGTGCTAGTAATATTCGTAGAAATTTTGTTGGCTAAATTTAACACTTGATTTAATTCTACCATATCAACAAAATTATTCTTGTCGGAGCTCATGTGAGAAGTGCATCCACTGTCCAAACACCAGTTATCATTTCAATTTGGACACAAAAAGAACTGATTCTGTTGCTCTTAAAGAGGAATTTTTTACTTCGCTCTTTGATTGCAGTCATTTTTCGAACGGCACTCTTTTGCATAGTGACCTTTTTTGCCACATTTGTAACAGCAAAAATTTCTTTTCGTATCTGTGCGTTTTGTGTATCGATCATTGTTGTTTCTGTTTTGTTTTTGTTATACATACTTGTCTTTGGTGTATTTTTTACATATAAAGCATTGGTGTCTGCTCTCTCGTTTTTTGGTTTTCTTGATTCCCACTCGTTTAGTATTTTTACACGAAGCACTTCTGGCTTTGGTAAATCATCACGTGTTTCAAGTGCAGAACGGAATGTTTCAAATGAGTCTGGTAAACTGTACAGTAATAAAATTGCGAGCAATTCGTCTTCGATTTCAACACCTATTTCCTTCAGTTTTGCAACAGCATCAAAAAAATCATTAAGATGATTTCTTACTAAATCACCCTCTTTCATTCGTGAGAGCGCAACTCTTTTTAACAATGTCGCTTTTTGAGCGTGGCCTTTCGACTTGCAGTTTCTGCCAGTACATTCAGGAATAAGATTTAACTCCGGTGCACTAATTGCTAGCATGATATCGGCACATGCTTTTTCATCATTTGTCTTTCACAGAGCTGCGGGTGCAGCCTCATCTGGATACTGTTTACTCCCGTTTACGTAGGCCCATAGTTCGTTTTTAATTAAAACTGCACGCATATGTAGCTTCTAAGTGTCGTAATTTTCTGCATTTAGAGGTTCGATACGCACGACTCCCGCCATTTCTGCAATTTTTTACGCAATTTCTTTTCGAAATTCAAATACTTATTTTACTCTTTATTTCACGCACGGACAATGAACTTTTACTTTTAGATTGAAATGCAAAGCGCAGTTGTGATGGGTCTGGGCCCATAACCTATTGGAGAAAATAAATTCAATAACCGTTTTGTCTGAATGCTACGTTTAAAGTGAAGTAGTAAAAGTTAGAACTTTATTAAGTACGCATATTACAGGATGGGAACAAAGTGGAAATTAAAAATTAAATAGTCGATATTACTTCTTTGTTCCAACAGACATTTTAATTTTGAAACTCTGAATCGCCTATTTTTAAGATGTGGGCAGACAAATGTAAATCATTGTATTTATGTAGTAATCATTTTTCTGCCGAAGTTATTGGAAAAAAATATCTTAAGCGAGGAGCTGTTCCGTGGTTGTGCCTACAGAATCATGATAAAATTGATTATGAACGGAAAACTGCAGATGATATCGACATATCAATTCTAATATCCCAATTTGAAATGAAATCAGAATCGCCTATCTCCTTGTGCGGCAGTAGGTTTCAAAATATTTAGAACGTCAAAGTATATCGAAATAAGAAATTTTTATTGCAGAAAAACTAATTTAAAAAATCTTAAATAAATTGTCATTTATAAGAGAAAATAAGATATTGAATAAATTAGTAATTAAGGTTAAAAGGCTATTGAAATCTAATTTGTCAATAAATTTGTCATCAAATATGATGACAAAAAAGTGTACTCTAAAATGCTGATTAAACCTAATATCTACAGCAACAGCTGTCTGAAATTTGAATGAATGGCATATTGCTCACATTATTTATTATAAGCCCACTGCTATGTATTTATTACTGAGAAACATGTTAAAGTTAAATTTTAACAGTTCTTCATCCTTGCGGAGATGGAATTATATTTGATAATATTGTTATAAAAAAAAATATAATGCCTTTATTTGGGAAATAAACCAACAGATGAGATAGGCCCGCATATTTGTGTTTTTATGTTGAGAGGACTCATAAAAAATTGGAAATTCCTCGTGAATTTTGTTGTTATGAATAATTCCATTAAAGAACCATCACTACGACAATTATTAAAAAATGATATAGACTGTGGAGCGCAATTGGGATTAAAAGTATATGCAATAATATGTGATCCAGGTCCAAAAATATCGAAATTGCTATAAATTATTGAATGCTTCAGAGGAAATACTTTATTCATAATAATTAGAGAATCTATCTTTTACATGATTTTGAAACAGCTAACAGCAAAATTAAGTTTGATATAATAAGAAAACTGTTGTTGTTAGTACAGGGAAATGTAACGAAAATGATAAAATTGATAACAGCTTATATTGCACCTATTAATTTTAAAAAGCAAGTGAAACTTTGCGTCGAAATGGTTGCAGTCGCAATTAAATCCATAACCATAACTCAAGAATTCCATAGAAATGATTTCTCAGTCGCATTGGCAACTGCTTTGATGTCCGCAACAGTAAACCATTCAGTGATCCCAAGCCTTTGATAGGGGATTAAGATTGAAAAATAGTGTTTGTTTGGAATAGCCGTTTCAAGTAAGAAACATTAGAAAATAAATTTTCGTATATACGTGGCAAAGGTTGTCATTATAAAAATCCGCGGAGGATATTATGCTAGGAATATATTTCTTTTCAATGCTAGAAAATATTCAGAGTTTGCATGGAGTAGATACCGAAAATCCCAATAACGAACACGTTGTACTAACTTCGGAGGACATTTGAAGATAATGAAACGTATTTCAATGAAGAAGTGGATTTATTCTGTTCAAACAGAATTCCTGTAGAATTCACGTTTAGTCGATATTTTATTTGTTACATTGCACATCGCACACTGTGCCAAAACAGAAATAAGCTGTTCAAAATTTTGTATTTATTGAACCAGTAGAGATAATGGAATGAAATTTTCCCAGAACTTTATTTTTGAGATGGTTTTTCTTTTGAATCTTATTTGAATCCAACCAGCTCATCGGAACCACTTCTAGTTTATGGCCAAAAATGGTCCATTTTCACATTTTCTTAGTTGCCTCAAAAACTATGCAACACCCACCCCCCACACAAAATTTCAATAAAAAATCGTTCATTATCGTTCAAAAAACTTTTTACTCTTATTAGACTATATATATTTATAACGTACATAACAATACAACTTTATGCAAAAAATGGGCGTGATCCACCCATTTTTTTCTTAAGTTATTTGCAGTTTTATGGAATTTAAGAAAAATTGGGCGAACTTTAAAGCCTTTTAACTTTTTCATTACTTATTGAAAAATGATCATTTTAATTTTTTTAAGTTTATAGATGTTATTCATTGATAAAGCTTAAAATTTTAACATAAAATAGCATAATTCTCAAAATTTTAACATAAAATAAAATAACCCATCACTCAATAAGTTGTGTGACTGACAAACAGGTGACGCTGCCATTGTCGAATTCATATAACGTTTATGAAGCAGCAACCTTTAAAAGACTATGTGTGAAATTCCATGACATTTCGATTAGTCAGAAAAAAAATGACAGCCATTTAATTGAAGCTAGTTTTGTTATTTTCAAAACAATGGATTCAACACAATTTCGTGTGTTAATTTATCATTACTTTTGATGGAAAAAAATCTGTACAAGCTCAGCAACGGTTTCAAAAGTGTTATCTGAACTTTGCTCCATCGGAAAAAAACTATTTTTTATTGGTTTGCTGTATTTAAACGTGGTCATACAGACACCGATGATGGTGACCGTTCTGGTCGTCCAATTGTGGTGGTGAAAACATCAATAAAGTCCATAAATTGGTCATATCTGATCGTAAATTAAAATTGCGTGAGATAGCTCAGACCGTTAAAATATCAGAAGACAGTGTGTTTACAAGTATGCATGAACATTTGACCATGAAAAAAACTCTTTTCAAAGTGGGTGCCGCGTTTACTCACAGTCGATCAAAAACAACAACATGTTGATGATTCAGAGCAGTGTTTAGCCATGTTTACACGTAATAAATTAGATTTTTTGCGTCGATATGTGACAATGGATAAAATATGGATCCAGCACTTCACTCCGGAATCAAAACGATCATCACCTGAGTGGACTGGAGCTGGTGAACAACGTCCGAAGCGTCCAAAGGCACAACAGTCAACTGGGAAGGTTATGACTTCAGTATTTTGAGATGCACATGGTATAATCTTCATTGACCGTCTCGAAAAGGGAACAACTATCAATAGTAACTACTACACAGCATTACTGGATCGTTTCAAAGCACAATTTGTAATAAAACGACCGCATATTGCGAAAAAAAAGGTTTTTTCACCAACACAATGCACCATGTCACAAAAACGATGGCAAAATTACACGAATTACACTTCGAATTGCTTCCTCATCCACCGTATAGTCCAGACTGGCCCCCCAGCGACTACTGGCTATTCGCTGATCTCAAAAAAATGCTCGCCGGTAAGGAATTCATCTCAAATGAAGAAGTACTTGCTGAAACTGAAGCCTATTTTGAGGTAAAAGACAAATCCCTCTACAAGCACAGCTTCGAGAAGTTAGAGAAGCTTTGGAATGCTTGTATTGCCCTTGAAGAAGATTATATTGATGAGTAAAATCGATTTTTGACAGAAAAAATTTGTTTTTCTTTTCTTAATATTAACAAACACACTGTTTTTGCTTATTTTTTTAACGATTTGGCTCATAAATTGCATTAATTCGTATTTAAAAAGTTTAAATAGTTTGTAAATAGTATAATAGCGTCAGTTTTTATTCTACTAACACATTAGCAGCTTTGAACTAATGGCAGATGTAGGTATTTCTACGGATTGCGTTCGTTGCAGTTATTTTTCTTTTTTTAGCACTATTAATACTGCAGTGTGTTGTATTATTTATTTTAATGATTTTTTTTCAGGTAGCAGAAGAACGTGAGGAACACAAATATGATAATCGAGAGAACACTCCATACGGCGAATATGGAGGATGGCATAAGGCCGCTAAAGTTGATTCTCCAACTGTTACAACAACATTAAAAAATTTAGGTGCACTTTATCGGAGGCAGGGAATGTTTGAAGCTGCGGAAACATTGGAAGATTGTGCTCTTCGAAGTAAAAAGGAAGCGATTGATTTGGCCAAACAAGCCAAAGTTGCTCAATTATTAACAACTAGCGAAAGAAGGCGATCCAGACAGTTTAAAGAGGAATCAGATAATACTGATGAGGTAAGATAATTAACTCACCGTTTGAAAAACAATAAAATTTAATTTTTTACTGAAATATATATGAAATGAAAATACCTCAGCGAAAGCATAATCAATTTTATATTATTATAAATATATATTGTTTTATATTAAAGGCGAAATTATATGTATCGTAATTGATCACTAAAAAATAAGTAATTGAAAAGTAACTAATAGTAGCAGTTACATGAACAGATACAATTCCATTAAACATAAACTGGTCTTTAGTTTTTAATAATTTTAATTTGTAATTAATTTATTTTCTGATTTAAGAAAAAATATTTGAAAATAATGACTATAACAATTATCACTGTATTTTTAGTAGTTTTAACTCTGATTCAATATTAATTGAAGGTTTTTTTTTATTTTTAATCATTTGAATTCTTTGGCTGATTATATAGCAGTTACGAGTATTGTCAAATTCCCATTAACAGTAGTCTTTAGAAATAATGAAGTGGTTTAAAAATCTTTATCTAATTTTATGAATAAGAAGTGCCACACTAAGAACTTTGAATCTGTCGTTTGTAACGTGAGAGTATCGAATACTGCATGAAGCTTCGATATTCAGAAATTTAGGTTTTTTGTTACTCAAATTATTCAGAATATATTTTTCTGCAGAATTTTACTTATTATTACAATGTTAGAAAGACAGACGTAGAATTGGTTTTAAGAGTTCCCTTATTTCTTTCTTTACTCCGAATACGAATAGGATAGATTGAGGATAAATAGAGGATAGATAGAGGATAGATAGAGGATAGATAGAGGATAGATAGAGGATAGATAGGGGATAGAAAGAGGATAGATAGAGGATAGATAGAGGATAGATAGAGGTAATATTGAGGATAGATTGAGGATAGATTGAGGATAGATAGAGGATAGATAGAAGATAGATAGAGGATAGATTGAGGATAGATTGAGGATAGATTAACGATAGATTGAGGATAGATAGAGAATAGATAGAGGATAGATAAAGAATAGATAGAGGATATATTGAGGATAGATAGAGGATAGACAGAGGATAGATTAAGGATAGATAGAGGATAGACAGAGGATAGATAGAGGATAGATAGAGGATAGATAGAAGACAGATAGAAGATAGATAGAGGATAGATTAAGGATAGATAGAGGATAGATTGAGGATAGATAGAGGATAGATAGAGGATAGATAGAGGATAGATAGAAGATAGATAGAGGATAGATAGAGGATAGATAGAGGATAGATAGAGGATAGATAGAGGATAGATAGAGGATAGATAGAGGATCGACAGAGGATAGATAGAGGATAGATTGAGGATGGATAGAGGATAGATAAAGGATAGATAGTGGATAGATAGAGGATAGATTGAGGATAGATTGAGGATAGATAAAAGATAGATAGATGATAGATAGAGGATAGAGGATGGGGGATGGAGATAGAGGGTGGAGGATGGAGATAGAGGATGCAGAATGGAGATAGAGGATAGAGATAGAGGTAGGATAGAGAATAGAGATAGAGGATAGAGATAGAGGATAGAGGATAGAGATAGAGGATGGAGGATGGAGATAGAGGATGGAAGATGGAGATAGGGGATAGAGGATAGTGATAGAGGATAGAGATAGATGACAGAGATAGAGGATAGAGATAGAGGATAGAGATAGAGATAGAGGATAGAGATAGAGATAGAGGATAGAGATGGAGGATAGAAATAGAGGATAGAGATTGAGGATAGAGATTGAGGATTGATATAGAGGATAGAGATATAGGTTAGAGGATAGAGGATAGTGATAGAGGATAGAGACAGAGGATAGAGATAGAGGATAGAGATAGAGGATAGAAGTAGAGGATAGAGATAGAGGATAGAGATAGAGGATAGAGATAGAGGATAGAGATGGAGGATAGAGATAGAGGATAGAGATAGAGGATAGAGATAGAGGATAGAGATAGAGGATAGAGATAGAGGATTGAGATAGGATAGAGGATAGAGATAGAGATAGGATAGAGGATAGAGATAGGATAGAGGATAGCGATAGGATAGAGATAGAGGATAGATAGGGTGTTTATGTTTGCATTCAATATTATTTAATATTTTGTTTTTTTTGTTATTTGTTTACCTGTGTTTACATATTATTTGGGCCAACACTGCGACCAGTCATTGACCAACGAAAAGTGCAATTTTGCATTATCAGCTTTTCTTGTTGGTCAATGCACTGAAGAAAGTGTGTAATATGTTGGCCTATAATTATGTCAGCACAGCGTAGGCAAATTTATTTATTTGTGAATTATGCATTAATATTTATTGTCAATTAATGCATAATTTAATAGCTTGTTAATCAAATAATTTTGTATAAATATAAGAAATTATGTTAATAAAATTCAGAAGGAAAAGAAAAATCAATTATAACTTTCTTACTTTCTCGCATCGGTTAGTTTGGGTTTCAAGTGCTCAAACTAATCAAAATAGAAAATACAAGTAGTTTGGGTTACAAGTGCTCAAACTACATTACACATAAAAAATTGGCTACCAAGCTAACACAGATTAAGGATCTGGGTTAGCACCAAGTAGCGTACATTTTTTGGTGACCCCGACGTGATTGTTGATGAAATATCAGCCTTCATTTTGTCGAAATACATATCGAAGGAGTCAATTACCTACAAAAGGACACACCAAAAGGTCTACTCAGTAACCAGCTGAAGTATTTATGCATTGGAATTTTCGGACCGAAAATTCAAACATCGCCATGGATGCGTTATTAAAGAAGCAGTCAGAGCTCGGTACAGAAATTGAGCGACTGATAACCAATTTCAAAAAGGATTCTAGTACCCGCAAGCAGGATACCACATATTATGAAGATCGGCTAAATAAACTAAACACGTTGTGGGATAAGTTCGAATCTAATGATGCTGAAATCAAAGTACTGCCACAATCTGAACTTCAAAATGAGTATTTCAGTGCAGACTATTTCAAAAAAATCTCCAATCTAGTAGTCACATATGATGAAAGATTCAAGCTGGAGAAATCAAGGCTACTCCTGAAACCACAGGACGGGAAGCCAGTAATAAGCCCAAGAGGGCCAAATAATACTACATCGCTC